AGTCGACTTCCTCTAACTCCTCGACGAGGAAATCCGTCGCTCGGGGTGGGTGCAGTTCGTGGCGCTCGGTTGCCGATGGCTTGGGATGTGCTTCCTGTGAAGCTGCGGACGGACTGTCCGGAGATGCACCGTGTGCAGAAAAAGAAACACTTTGCCCGCAGGCACCCTCGGAACAAGCGAGGCTGTAAAATTTGCGTGTCATAGAGCGGATAATGTTCAAGGATGTTCTTAATAATGTAACGATATCTCAAACACGGGAGCCTCGTACGCTCTCTTCTTCTCTTCTTTAGAGAAGAAAAGAGTGTGAATTGTGGATATTCACAATTTTGATGGAGGAGAGTGTAGCGGGTTTAGACATACCCTTGTATGAAAGGGCGGGTCACACCTTAACTACTTAATGGTTTGACGTAACCATGACAAGAAGCCATAACGTGGCTGAATTGCCACCGTTAATTTAGGTTTCACTATATTAATTATGCAGTGGGGCTGCCTTAGCAAAGCGCTTGAGGAAGCGTATTTTAGGTCACCGACCTTTTGTCCTTTACAAGAACCAAGTATGAGTAAGCGGATCGCAATCCGCTCACTCCAAGCGTAATTATTGCCTTCCCAGGGCTATTTGACTCTTCTGTTTAAATTCAAAACTGAATTCATTTACTTTTTTATCCTAATTTTAGAAGTCAAGATTTCCCGATGTATCTGTTATCAGGGTACGTGTAACCCTGTTACACCCTTCCCCGTTTAGATTGAGAACATTGACAGTTCCAATCGATTATCGCCGCAACGAGGCCCGCGTGTCCGTTAGACTCTGCAACTTAATTTGTTGGAAAAATAAAACAACTTACTTGCTCAATGAGCCTGTGTCAATGACACCAAAACTTCCAAGTCTTGCAGGTTCTGATGGCGAGCATGGGCAGAGCCCAACATCGTCTCCCGCACTCGGTGCAACGTCAAAAAGTGCGTCTGCAGCACCGAGGGATGTATAATCAAGGATCGATGCGCACAAACGTCGCGCTCCGCACACGCTTTCAGTGCCGAGTGGCCTCGTTGAGGATGTGGTCGACTATGAGTCTGACACTCCTTTTCCCCATGGAATGACGAGGATGGCGAGCTACGCCAGCGGCGTGATACGAGCTCTGCTCGCGCCTTGCAAACCCCATGTCCGTTCCCTGACTTCTCGTCAACTGAGGGACGTGGTGTAATCACCAATGACCTTGACGGGGAACAGAGGCGGAAGGTTGAAGCTGCCCATAAGGCGGCTCTTAAGTGCGCCCATCCACGGCCGCTCATTGACCCAATTGTTTAGTATGGCTTCCGCCCAGCGGATCACGCTGTGGAAGCGAAGGACGCGGTAACTCGATCGTTACGCGTCCATATCATTGGGCCCCCGGCCAGAACGGATGATGAACATGCCACACGGAAAGCTCATTGATCTCGTTTCTTGGCCCCACAAGAAATTCCATTAGACGTTTATCGCACTCGTCTATGTGCTCAACGATGTGGT